TCTTTGGGTCCGATGTTTACTTAAACAATATATCGCTACCATCAGGGTCTACTACCCATTCTTGGGTGAGTAAGAGCCCAAGGACCTGGAAAAAACACATCCAATTGGAGAACAGTGAGTGCCTTTTGGGACACCCCTGCAACCTCCTCCTGTCCTCCCAGTTACAATCACACTTCCTTTTATTTGGCTGAAATTGGCTGGATAATAACTTTTGCCCAGTGAGCATAGTTCTGTTGCTTGGGAAAATGCAGAATTAGTCTCTTTCCTAACAGAAGTTCAGATGCATGAAGTCAACATCCATCCCCAGATTCTTCCTACCTCTGGGAGAAAACCTCAACTCCATTTAATTGCCAAGGTTTATAACAACACTTCTGATTGTTAGCATTTACTAAGTGCACTACTTGTGAGCACAGTGCTAATTCTCATACATTCCCTGTTTAATCTTCACAGCAACCTCATGAAGGAGCATTTTCTAGTTCCAAGTTTCAGAAGAAACTGAGACTCAGAGAGAATGCGTTCCATTTAGGCTGATGGGATCCAAGTTCGGTGAGATGAGAGCCTCCTTTATTCTGGACTCTTTACCTCTATTAAGGTGGCCAGAGGACACAGCAGCATTCCCGTGTCAGCCTTATCATTCCTGACGGCTTTATCAAAACTGCCCTTTGAATGCCATGGTTGCAAAGCAGCTTTTACACTTGTTCCTGACAAATTAATCTCTTTCATTCTGGCTCAAAAAGACCTTTTTTCCCCTTAAAAAATCTCAGAGGCAACATGACTTATGTAGAATTCCTGGCAACAATATTTTTTAAAAGCCTCCTAGCTAGAGCACCTGGCACACAGTACACGCCCCATACCTGATTACTATTATTACAGAAGGCGGGCGACACTGTTTGTTTGGTTCCCTGGGTTTCCCTCTCTTCCCCACAGTAGAACAATGGGCTAAAAGTAGCTCTGTGCTAAGGAGGGACCATCCGCCACGGTTGGTCTCTGAGGTGGCTTCCAGAAGGATCCGTCCTCTCCAGCTGTGGCAGAAACAAGACGCCAAGAAGGTGTTTCCTTGAATGTGGGCCTGTCTGCTCTCATGCCTGGCTCTGCTCTCCCCAGGGCCTCATCATCCCCCCATTTGCTGGTGAGTGGCTTTGTCTATCTTTGGTGGGAAGGCCCCTTCCCTCCACCACCCTCAGACCCCAAACTCGTGACACCACAGCCCGCCTTGCTGCTGCTTCTGCTGCCGATGCCTCACCCATGTTGCTCAAAGCGACATTCCTTTTAGTGAGGTGGAGCTGTGGAAATGGATTTTAAAATATGGGTTGTATTTGAATTTTTGGTTGTTTTCTAAATTTGGTCACAATCATGTCTTCTTGTTCTAAAACGAGAGAGAAAGGAAGCAGCTGCCCTCTGGGAAGCCTCCAGAGAGGAGAGGGGAAGAAGAAAGCCCTCACGCGTCTCTGTCGATGGTGCTGCTTCCTTCCTGAGCTCTCAAAAGCCAGCTCTGTAGGAGTGGAAGGGGACAGACATGGCCCTGAAGATGCCACTTGGTCTCTCTGGCCTGAGAACCTCCTGTGGGCACACGGCGGCCATCCACCAAGGCTACTGGCTCCTACGCATGCCAGACCGGTGTGCTCTACCCTGTGGGGAACAGAAAACACAGACACTGTCCCCACCCTGGGGAGCAAACCCCACTTGAATCTGGCCAATATGATTCAAGGCAGACACAGAGAGGTGCAAGGAGCCCAGAGAAAGGAGTGACCTTGTCTTCATTAGATGGGGTGACATTTGTACCACCTCAGAAGGCTGAGTAGGCTCCAGATAGTCAGGGGTGGAGGGCAGTCCAAGGGTGGACAGCATGGCCAGGAATGGGGGGAGTGGGGATCTTGCCATATGCAGAAGGGAGGCTGGGCAGGGGAGGCCACAGCCTGGCTGGGTCCACATCTTCGAGGATTGGATGCCAAGTCAAGTTTAGATTTCCTCCTGGAGGCAAGGAGGAGACATGGTCTATGCAGTGAGGACGAGGCTGCAGCTGGCCAAGCCGTGGTTTCCTCCCATTGCATCATCCTTCCTCAAGCGTCCATCCCCCATGGAGGGAGCTGCAGAGGGCTGGGATTCTGCAGAGGGCTGTGTGGTTTGGCTTTTGTCGCCAGCCCTGAAGTGAACCTTCCCTGCCAAGGTCAGGGACCTCTCATTTGCTAAATCCTTTGAAAAGTTTTCTTCCTCATGTGCCTGAATCTCACTGCTGCATTTGGCCTGGCCTGTCTCTGTCTCTTGTTGAGATTCTTTCCTCTTGTGGCCCGTGGCCACTACACATCTGGGTTCTTCATCCACTCTCCCTGCTTCTCAATCACTTCTGCAGTCTTCCTCTCCAGCATTCTTTAGCCACATTCCCTAGGATTCCATGAGACTCGCTTGTGACCCTTCTTGTTCCTCCTGGGGGATCTCAAACACGGGTGTGGCTTCATTTTATTATTATTATTTTTTGAGATGGAGTTAAGCTTTTGTCGCCCAGACTGGAGTACAATGGCTAATGCTTGGCTCACTGCAACTTCCAGTTCAAGTGATTCTCCTGCCTCAGCCTCCTGAGTAGCTGGGATTACAGGGGCCTGCCAAATTTTTGTTTTGTTTTGTATTTTTAGTAGAGACAGGGTTTCACCATTTTTGTCAGGCTGGCCTTGAACCCCTGACCTTGGGAGATCCACCAGCCTCAGCCTCCCAAAGTGCTGGGATTATAGGCATGAGCCACCGTGCTTGACCAGGTATGGCTTTAATAACAACAATTACCTGTGTCTATCTGGAATTTTTTTTTTTTGAGACAGTCTCATTCTGTCACTCCAACTGGAGTGCAGTGATGTGATCTTGGCTCACTGCAACCTCCACCTTCCAGGTTCGAGTGATTCTCATGCCTCAGTCTCCTGAATAGCTGGGATTATAGGCATCTGCCACCACGCCCAGCTAATTTTTGTAGTTTTAATAGAGACGAGGTTTCATCATGTTGTCCAAGCTGGTCTTGAACTCCTGACCTAAGGTGATCTGCCTGCCTCAGCCTCCCAAAGTGCTGGGATTATAGGGTGAGCCACTGGGCCTGAAAAACAGTGACTGAATCAAATCGAGGTTTTATTTTTCTTAGGTAAGAGGAAGTTCAGATTAAGGCATTTCTAGGCTGATACAATGTCTCTGTGGTGCTGAGAGACGGAGGCTCCTTCTGTCTTTCCACACAGCTGTGTTTAGTATCTTCCTGTCACCTGTGGTTGTAAGATGGCTGCCTCCTCTTATCCCTCCAAGCATTGAGCCTGTCTTCATTCAAGGAGGAGAAGGGAAAAGGGCAAAAGACCTGCCAGCTGAGTCTCTCCTGTGTTAAAGCACTTTCCCAGGGGCTCCACCGGTGATGTCTATTTACATCTCTGCATCAGTCAGTTATTGCAGGGTGATGCTCTGTAACAACCACTCACAAATTCAGGCTGGGCTCATCTGAGCAGTGCTCCAAACTTGGATCAGCTGGTCTTGCCTCTAGATTGGCTCTGAGGGCACTAGTTCTGGGATCCAGAACTTGCTGGGATCTGAGCAAGCAGTGATTACCTGGGTGGGTTCTTCTCTTGGTGAATCATGAAAGGAAGAAAACCAAACTATACAAGCAAATAAAAGGTTTCTGCTTATTCCTTCCATTAACATTCCAAAGGAAGTCATGTCGCTAAGCCCAACATCAATGGGTAAGTACTTACACCGCGTTCATGGGGGGAGTGGAGAAGAATGCATATTTGTTGGGGAATAATCTATGTTAACACAATCTCACTGTCCAGCCAAGTGTCATGTTGCCTCTTAGCTGCAAAGGAGGTTAAGTGTGGCTTTTCTAGTTGGCACATTGCCATCCTAAACAAATGCAAGGTTTTGATATTAAGGAAGAAGAGGAAAGCGGATATTGGGTAGGCATACTTTGCCAGGACTTTTTACAATAGTCATGGGCCAGGAGTTTCCAGGCAAAAAATAACGGAGATAGGAATCACACTGGCTTACAGTAACACTGGAAATACTTATCCTTGTGAAGACACAGAGACAGGCAATGCCACATCTCAAACATATCCAGACTTACATAGGCCACTGAGTTCCTTTCTCCCATTGCAGCATTTCACAAACCTTCCCTCATTTTGGTGTCTTTCCGAGTACTGCCCCTCATTTTGGCACTTATACCAGCAGTGTCAGAAGTGCCACAACATGATGGGCATGAGGTGGAAGAGTCATCAATGTCATCCCCATTTGTAGTTGCTCGTCCTTCCATCTTCTAGGGAGATGCTAGCATGTGTCAGTCAGTCCCAGCACATGCCCATCGGCCCTGAAGGGCTCTGGCTCTGTCACATGTCCTGGTCCTAGGGCCCAGCATCAATCTCTTTCGTTTGTAGCATCAGTGGTTCAAATCAAATATATTCAGGTCTTGATATTAACTAAGGGAGAGGAAGGTGAAAAGCTATCTAAGACAAGAAGTGAGAGCTGGTGTTGAAAGAAGGAGGCTGGGGCATTGCTCGCTTCAGGATCACAGGGGCTGTTCCATTGCCTAATCCTAAAGAGCAAAGAAAGCAAGAGACTTTCACTAGATCAGACCTGGAGTTCCTGAAGCAGGGAGTCCAGAATGGCTTCCGAAGTCTGTACCATTATATTATTGTCTTCTTCAGCTTCTCCCTCAACACCTACATACCAGCAATTCCTGATCCGTCTCTAGCATGAGTCTCTCCCTACCTGATTGCCTGATGACCAGCCATCTCCTCTGTTTGCCCCATAGAGCCTGCAAGCACAACACCTTCTAAACTGGACTCATCATCTTGTCCTCCCACAACCTACTATTCTTTCTCCCGTGCTGCCTGCAAGGCTAAAATGATTTGGTCTGTCTGGCTGGCATCTATTTATTTCCCTTTGTCCTAGCAAGAGCCTCAGTGTCTCTTTGGGGTCCATCCGCTCCCTCTTAGTCCTTACAGCTACTGCTCCACCAAAGCTTAAGGGGTGGAGCTCACGGTTCGGGTCGAAGTCAATTAGCACAGCCATAGATAGCGATTGGCTGGATGTGAGCATGTGATTGAAGCCGGTCCAATCAGGGCAAATCTCAGACTATTCACGGGAAGCTTGGACACAAGCTCCAGTTTTTTTGTTGTTGTTGTTCAATTTAAACCCGGAAGGATGTAGTGCGGGGAATCGCTGCAGCCATCTTGAAAATATGTGGGAAGAGCCTCAAGAACGGAGTCAGCACAAGTACGTGAGGCTGGAGATGGGGGACGACGTGCTGCTGGTGCGAGACCCTCATACTGTTCAGTTACATGAACGCTGAACTCCTCTTCCCTTTGGTTAAAGGTCAGTTTGACTATGTTTTCAGACATTTTCAACCAAAAGTGTTCTGCTACACCCTACTCACTGTAGGGCTACACCACTGATACAGCCAGTTAAGCCAGAAACCTGGGACCCACCTGCTGACTCACGCCCCACACCTAAGGAATACCAGAAAGCTCTCAGTCCTTTAGCCAGTCCCCTTCCTGCCATTCCCACTGCTGTTGCCTCGGTTCGAGCCTATATCCTCTTTTGCCTGAGCCACGGACAGTGACCATCAAGTGGCCTCCTCTTCAAACTTGCCGGTTCAATCTCTCCTCCTCCCCACCCAGCAGCGTGGCTTTTCTAGAGCGAACCTGACCGTGGTACGGTGCCCTGTCACCTCCCAGGCTCCACTGGTAGGCCTTCCCTGACCTGGCCCCTGACTGAGGCTGTGGTCTCACCTCCTGCCACCTGCCAGTGCCTGGAAGAAGATGCCTGTTTCACCTGCATGTCCCTGAATAGGCGAGGCTGTCTCACATCTCCACTGGAATATATGATCTTCCTGCCTTTTCTTCCAAGAACATTCTTCCTCAACCTCTGATGTCCAGTGCAATCAACCCTGTGTAGCTTTCTCTGACCACCTGCCTTAGTTGTTTATTCTTGCCTTCCTCAGCACTGTTCCTTGTCTTACCTTTACCATAGCACTTGATCTGGTTAGTGAGGGAGGGCTTCTAGAAGGCGGGTGTGATGTGTCTGATCATTACTCTTGCATTTGTCACAAGGCCTGGCCCAGGGGTGATCATCCAGTGTCTGCTGGCCAGCTGACTGAGTGAGTGATTGAATGAATGAAGGAAGGAAGGAGCAGATTAAACTAGGGAACATAGTCCTCTGACTGCTTTTGCTGCTGGGAGGGAAGGCCTTGTGGCTTGGAGGGAAGCTGTAGTGAATGGGAAAGGGGAAATAACCACTAAAACATATTTTGAGGTCACAGTCGACTGAACTCTGGCTGGGCATGGTGGCTTACACCTGTAATCCCAGCATTTTTGGAGGCTGAGGCAGGTGGATCACTTGAGCTCACAGAGTTCAAGACCAGCCTGGCCAACATGGTGAAACCCCATCTCTACTAAAAAGACAAAAATTAGCCAGGTATCATGGTAGGTGCCTTTAATCCCAGCTCCTAGGGAGGCTGAAGCAGGAAAATCACTTGAACTCGGGAGGTGGAGGCTGCAGTGAGCCAAGATTGTGCCACTGCACTCCAGCCTGGATGACAGAATGAGACTCTGTTTCAAACCAAAACAAAAGAAACAGACAAAAACCAAAAACAAAGTGACCTCTGTGGAGGACTTTTCTTTACGCTGTAGACACATCTTGAGCCGGGTACCGGCTGCTCTGGTGGCACAGAGGTGAGCTATCTAGACGGAATCGGGTGCTCATGAGTGTTAATTCCACCCAACTCTGCTGCTTACTACCGGTATGACTTTGAGCAAGTCACTTCCCTTATCTGAGCCTCAGTTTCCCTTTTGGCCTATTGGTTATAGTCCCTAACCTGTCTGCCTTGTAGGGCCATTGTATGGATCAAAGGAAAAGAGATGGAATACGCAAAAGGCTTTCTAGACCTGGGAGTGCTCTTTGAAGGGAGGCCAGGATGCCCATCACTGACTCATGATCTCCACTCTTCCAGCGTTCACCACTCCCACTGTGTTGTGTGCTTTCCCAGATCTAAGGAATCCATAGTCCTTATGGATTACAAGTGTGAATGGACAAGCTTGGATACCTCTGAGCACACATTCCAAGCTGCATTCTTTTGATGGTTACTGGCAAAAACTCAACTCAAACTAGATTAGGAAAAAATGGAATTTATTGGTGCACAGAACTAAGAAGTCAAGGACTTCAGGTACAGCTGGATCCAGGATTCCAATAATATCCTGGAGCTTTTTTTCTTTTTCTCTCTGCTTCCTTCTGCTGGCTTCATTCTAAGGCAAGACTTCCCTACTCCATGAAGGGACTCCAGGAAGCTCCAGGCTTCCATCATTCTTATAGCTAGCAATCTCAATATTTTCAGTGAAAGTTCAGGGATTGAGTTTTGCTAGATTCTCTTGGATCAAGGGCCCATCTCTGGATGTACCACTGTGGTGAGGGACACTAGGCAGACCTGAATTCCACGCCCACCTTTGGAGCAGGGGTGGAGAGAGGAGTATGTGAACCCGGCATGGGGAGAGGTGGCTCAATGAAGTGGGAAAGAGAAGATGCCAAACAGCAAAAGCAACTGTCATCAGTCGCCAGTGGCCTGGGCAAGGGGATTGCGAAATCATGAGCTCAGCAGATCTTATCTCTGGGGCCCCTTCCTTCTTCTCGGTGCCATCTCCCACCCCTGCACCATCAGCTGGGAGTGGCACAGAACTACTCAGATGAACTGGGCCCACAGAGCCAGAGGAATCTGTGGGTCTAGGGAGGCAGCCAGGAGGTCAGGCCTCTTTGGCTTGGCGTGGAAGGAGCCTGCGAAGCCCTGGACTCCTTCCTCTCCCCAGCGCCTCCCTGCCTGGCTGCAGCTAGATCCCTGGAGGCAGGCAAGCTCAAGCTCGGAGGACAAGGGTGAGGAGTGCACTGATAGAAAGAGGAGTGACAGAACTCAGGAGGCCTGAGGTTAGGCTCACTGGGGAGCCATCTCTGCCTTAGGCTGGCATGGGTGTGCCATCCATGCACAAGGCCCCGTGCCTTGATGGACCCCATGCTTGATGTAATGCTCTACTCTTACCATCTTGAAATTCTTCATGGTTTTTGAAGCAGGTGCCTCCAGTTTTCATTTTGCATAACCCCCAAAAGTTATGTAGCCAGTCTTGGTCTCAGTCTCCCCATCTGTGTCAAGAAAATGATGGACCAAAGGACCAGAGGAGCTTGGAGGTGACTTGCTACTGACAGCAGAAACACGTGCTCCTCCAGGGGAGCTTCTCTGGGTTCACAAGTGGTTATTTCCCCTGGGAAGGCCACCCAAAGCTGCCCCATGGTGCTGCCTCCTTTCTCTTCCTCCAGCTCTGTCCTCTGAGGGGTGGAAGGAGCTAGAGCTGCGATCACCTGGGACTCAGAGGGCACTGGACTTCCCATCATCACTTACCCATTGGCTTTACCCCCATCTGGCACCATGTTACTCAAGATGTGGGCCATGGACCAGCAGCCCTGGCATTCCCTTGGAGTGCATTAGAAATGTAGACTCTCAGGCCCCACCCAGACTTACTGAACCAGAATCTGCATTTTAGCAAGCTCCTGGGTGATTCTCAGGCTCATTAAGGTCTGAGAAGTTCTGATGAAGGCTCATTAAGCCTCCTTCCAGGGCATGCCTTGGGCCTCAGGACTGGGCAGGACAGGCTTGCCAAGTGGATAAAGGCACAGAGCTGGAGAAGCGCAGGGTGTCCACATTTGCTCCAGCTGCCATGACAGGTATTCCAAGCTGGATGGCTTAAACAACAGAAATTGATTTTCTTGCAATTCTGGAGGCAAGAATTCCCAGATCAAGGTGTGGCCTGGGATGGCTTTGTCTGAGGCCTCTGTCTGTGGCTTGTAGGTGGCCACCTCTGTCTCTGTGTTCACATGGCATTCACTCTGTGCTTCTCTGTGTCCTAATCTCCTCCTCTTATGAGGACACCACCCATCAGATTGGCTTACGACTCCCCAGTGAACTCACTCAAACTTAATGAGCTCTTTAAAGATCATGTCTCCAAATATGATCTGAGGTACCTGAGGGTTAGGACATCAGTGTATGAATTCAGGGAGGGATTTGACATGATTCAGCCCACGACACACACGTGCATAGGAGGAGCACAAAATGGAAGTCAGCAAGTGCTCACTATGTGTCAGGCTTGGAGCCAGGTGCTCTGCGTATTTTTTCTTACTTAATCCCCAAACAGCCCTGAGAGGTACAAAGTGAGCCACAAACACTGTCAAGGTCCCTCTGTGTGCCAGGCACTGGGCTAGGCACACACATACATCATGGCACAGTGTCCCCACAGAGTCTCCTCCTCACACTCACAGGTGTGAAACCTGAGACCCAGAGAGGAGAGAGGAGGTGCTCTGGGTCACTCAGGGCTGGGGCCGGGACTCAGGTGTTCATGGTCCATTTTCACCCCTCCCTCTCCACTTCCTTGCCTTGCTGCTTGGGAACAGTGGGTTTACAAGTCCCTCTACATTGCCATCGTATAAATGAGAGGGTCTCTCTCTCTCTCTCTCTTTTTTTTTTTTTTGAGACAGAGCCTCATTCTACTGCCCAGGCTGGAGTGTAATGGCACAATCTTGGCTCATTGAAACCTCCACCTTGCAGGTTCACACGATTCTCCTGCCTCAGCCTCCCAAATAGCTGGGATTACAGACATGTACCACCACTCCTGGTTAATTTTTGTATTTTCAGTAGAGATGGGCTTTCATCATGTTGGTCAGGCTGGTCTCAAACTCCTGACCTTAGGTAATCCAAGCTCCTTGGCCTCCCAAAGTTTTGGGATTACAGGCATGAGCCACGATGTCTGGCCGTGAGAGGGTCTCTAATTGTGGAGGACAAAAAGAAGTGGTGAAAAACATAAAAAGACACCTGGGGCTGGTGGGGTGTCCTGGAAAAAGGCCATACGCATACTAGGCCCCAAGGCTGGTGTGTCACGAATGTGGAACCCCTGGTTCCTTTGCAGTTGGGGTTCTGAAGAAACTTCAGCCTTAGCAAGGGAAGGAGCATGCGCTCCAAGCTTGCCGCGATGGTGGTTCCTATGGTTGCATTTTGGGGCACACTCTGCCTTGGGGAGTGGAGCTCACAGAGTCATCTTCAGTCCTGGTAAGCCCCAGTTTCCTTCTGCCACTCTGAGCTTTCTTTACCTATTCCTCTTCGGGACATTTGTGTATCTACATGGCGGGCATGGGATCTTATTTTTTATTTTTGAGACAGAGTCTCACTCTGTCATCCAGCTGGAGTGCAGTGGCGCGATCTTGGCTCACTGTGACCTCTGCCTCCCGGGTGCAAGTGATTCTCCTGCCTCAGCCTCCCAAGTAACTGAGATTACAGGTGCATGCCACCACACCCAGCTAATGTTTGTATTCTTTTTTTTAGTAAAGATGGGGTTTCGCCACGTTGTACAGGCTGGTCTTAAACTCCTGACCTCAGGTGATCCACCCATGTCAGCCTCCCAAAGGGCTAGGATTATAGGCGTGAGCCACGGTGCCCGGCCTGGTCATGGGATCTCAAAGCAGGCATGGCCCCTGGAGGGACCCAGTGGGCCAGTCCATTGACCCTTGTCTGGGTCACAGACTCCTTGAAGAACCTGAAGGGAGCCATGGCCACCGTCCCTAGGAGGCACACAGACACACCTGGCCATACTCAGCTGCAGGAGCCTCCAGGTGCAAGATCCTGCCTTAGAAGGCTTTACAGCACGTCCACTATTGGTGCACACCCTGGGGGATGAGTTCTCACTTCTTGTTGTGGCTTCCCCGAGGCCTCGGTGCACCACCCTGGTCACCTCTTTCATTGGAGCTGACTCTGCCTCCCAGTGGCTTCTTTTCAAAGGTCGTTGTTCTGCTCCTCAGAGCCACCTGGAATGAGGTCACCGTGTCCTCTCTGTGATACATCCCCCGGGCTTCACCCCTCTCCATGGTGTTCAGCTGTGGCTCTTTCCTACAGGGCAGGCATCCAGTACCTTCCCAGACTGTCATGGCTCCAGACACACTTCCGTTTCTCTGTGTTCTCATTAAGGACTGGGCCCCAGAACACAGAACTCCAGGTGTAGTCTGGCCAGCCTGAGGAGAGCAGATCGCTCACCCATTTTGTTCTGGATGTTGGCCCCCATTAATGTAACTCTGGAGACAAACATAACACAGCAGATCCACTGAGCATGGGGTCAACTCAGGCTCCCAGATCTTCTCCCTGTAAACAGCTGCACGGTCACATCTTCCCTTTCCTCTTTCTAGTGTTTGTGAGGTTTCACATGGAAATCCCAGGTTCCACCAGATATTTGGTTTGCTGTCATGTTCCTTTACTGCTCATAGTGTCCTCAGCCAAAGGCGTTGCCACCCTGAGCCTCACTTTCCTCACAGGTTTGTTGGGATGATGAAATGTATAAGGTCAATGTTGGTGCTTGGAAGTGTGTTAATGTTTCCATGTGTTGTTGTTTTGGAAGAGATTTCTGGTTGTTTCCAAAATCCATTTCCTTCTTTTCCATGGAAATAAAACTTTCGCCTTGGTGTGCAGACACTCAGCACAAGACCGCAATTCCCAGCGTGTCTTGCGCTAGATGGAAGGAGAGGGCACCAGTGTGCGATAGTCCCTCCTTATCCACGCTTCCCACAGTTCCTGTTGCCCAAGGTCCAGAACAGCAAGTTATTTGGAGAGAGAGAGAGAGGTCACAGTCACAGAATTTTTATTACTGTATGTTATTGCTCGTCTTTCACGGTGCCTGGTTTGTAAATTAAACTTGATCATAGGTATGTATGTATAGGAAAAAACATGGTGTATATAAAGCTTGGTACTGTCTGCAGTTTCAGGTGTTCACTGGGGACTTGGAACGCATCCCCACATGTAAGAGGGACTCCTGTACTCAACTGCTAGTTGCACCTTTGAAGAGTGGAGTGTGTCCTTTCTCGTTACTCCTTCTGTGGATGGAGTGCAGATGTGTGGGGCGCTATCTTGGACACTTGGGTGAGTACAGCCCATTGGGATGGCAGAGCAGTAAGACAGAAGCAGCCTGGGACCCTGACAACTTCAAAGAGTAGCCCCAAAGCCGTTATTATTTGTGTTGCTCAGCTCAGCCTTGTCACAGCCTAATCAAAGAGTTTTTTTGAGGCATTTTATTTAGAAGAGGCAGGTAAAGGCTCAAATCAATAGGGAAGAGGAGAGGAACTCGCAAATACTTTTTTTCCCTTTTACTTCTGCTTCTTTCCTTCCCTCCTTTCATTTCTCCCCTCTCCTCCCATTCAATCCTTGAACATGTATTGGGTTCATTTTCTGTACCAAGCCTTCTGCTAGGCACTGTGGATACAGAAATGATTAAGGCGCAGTGTCTGCTGTAGACTAGCAAGGGAGACACAGGGCATGTAGACATGTCCTCAAGTCCATGTGACAAGATCGCCATGGAGGGGTTTACAGGGTGATGGGTGGACTCGGAGAAGCAGCTACCTCTTTTGCTTGGGAAGGTGGGAGGGAGGGAGTCAGAGAATTATGGCTTGAGTTGATCCACGTGGGCTGAGTAGAGGTTCTCCGAAAGAGAAGGGAGGGAACAGCTTGTGCAGAGTACTAGGAGCGCGCAGGAGTACTGAGCGTGCAGAGCTGTGGGCTCTTTGTGGTGGAAGCGAGGGGTGAAGACGGCTGATCAAGGACTTCCTTTGCTGCAAAGTGCCCTGCCAGAAGTCAACTCCCTTCTGAGGAGCACTGAGCAAGAAAGAAACAACTGCTTTGCAAACAAACACCTTGTGTATTTATTTCCTGTTTTCCTCACATCTCTCATCTTTTCCCCTGAATGAGATGCCTCCTGGTTTCACTTAATTTCCACAGGAAACTGGAAGGAGCAACATCTGTCGAAATTCTCCCTAATTCACTCCAGATTTTCCGGGTCAGAATGTGGCCCCTGAGAGTCAGGGTCTCTGTGGTGTCAGAGGTGACAGCCCCAGAATTGGGGGTTTGCACCGAGCCCCTCATGGCAGCAGAGTCCAGGCGCCTGTTCCCTGCACAATACAGATGTTCAGCAAGGATTTTGCTGGGAGTGTAATGAGTGGCTGAGGCGGCCTCCGGAGAGAGGAGCTCGGGCCTTGTTCCCACGGGCTCCTGCCCAACGTTCCCGCGTTCCTGAGTTTTATGTTCCTGGGAGAGGCTGGAAGCCGACAGTGCTCCAGCTCCACAGCAGCTGCCCCTGCTCGGGAAGGCAGCAACCTCTTTCCTCACATGGCCTTGGGACATTGGCCTCCCAGCCCAGGGACATTGTTTTGTTCACAGCTGCATGCTGTATTTATAATAAATGGTATTTATTTAGGGGATACTTTCTCTTCTGCCACCCACAAGGAGGTTTGGAGCAGAAGGAGCAGAGCTGAGCCTCCAGGGATGGAGGTCTGATCCTGGGGAAAGTGGCTCCCTCTGTTTGAGGCTCAGTTTCCTCATCTTGCATGTGAGTTAGGCTGGTTGGCCCAGGTGGCATCTAAGGTGATGTGGACAGGTGTGCATGTTGGAGTCAGGCAGGCATGCATTCCGCCTGGGCCACTTGGCAGCTGCATGGTCCTCGGGAGGTCCTGAACCTTGCCGGGTGCAGTGTCCTGTCCTCATCTGTGCATGGAGGACGTGGGACCAGGTCATCTTGAAGGGCCTCGAGGGCGTAGTGAGGAGGCCAGGAGAGCCCACTCTTGACAACGATGCTGAGGAAAAGCGTTTTGTATTGCCCCTCTTGGCAAAATATTTCTAATTCTATGCCTGTTGAACCAAGCAATGTCAGCACAAAAGAGTTGGCCTTCCACTATCCTAAGAAAACTAAAGCAGAAACAGTAGAAAGCAAATACTGCATGCGCTCACTTGTAAGTGGGAGCTAAACATCAAGGGCATGTGGCCCCAGGGAGGGGAACAGCAGGCACAGGAGCCTACTTGAAGGTGGGGGATGGGAGGAGGGTGATTTGAGTACTATGTTCATTGCCTCAGCTACGAAATAATCTGTACAGCAAACCCCTGTGATACTCAATTTACCTATATAACAAACCTGCATAGGTACCCCTGAACCTAAAATAAAAGTAACAAAATAAATAATAAAACAAAACAAAGCAGGTGGATCACCTGAGGTTGGGAGTTCGAGACCAGCCTGGCTAACATGGTGAAACCCTATCTCTACTAAAACTACAAAAATTAGCCTGGCATGGTGGTGGGAAATCCCAGCTATTCAGCAGGCTGAGGCAGAAGAATTGCTTGAACTCGGTTTTAATGAGCCGAGATTGTGCCACTGCACTCCAGCCTGAGCAACAGAGCAAGACTCTGTCTCAAAATAATAATAATGACAATGATAATAATAATTTTCTAACAAAAGAAGAGGCATCCGTGGTTTTCCCTTCCTCCCACCTCTTGTCCCCACTCTCCACAGATCAATGGACTATTTTTGTCTAAAGCATAACTAGATGACTGATTGGAGTGTCTTCCTCCTGCACCCTGCTTTCCTGTGTCCTTTCACTCACCCTGGCCTTTTTCAGACCCTTCAGTGGTCCAAACTACAGCCTCTCTGGAGCTTGCGTTGTTCAACGGCGACAAGAGGCAGCCCCAAGGGGTGAGGGGCTGGGAGGGAGGGCAGGGTGGAGGGTTAGCTCCTCCAGCATCTTCACGTGTGTCTCCCACACCCTCCATCTCGGAAATGCAAGGTGCTATTGGTGTGCGATGATGTCGGGCCCCCAGGTTCCCCGTTCAAGGTTCTGGCAGTCCCCTGTGCCTGCTGCAGTCCCGTCCACTGCTCCTGCTGGCTGCCTCCCCTCTTTCAGACCTTGGTGTCCTGTTACTGTCCTTGCTGATGCCTTGTCTGCCCCCCATCTCATCTTTCATAGCTCTAGACACTTTTTCTTCCGAAAACTCATCATATTTGTAGTTATACGCGGATCTTGTCCTCTTCCATTTGATGTCTGGTTCTTGCAATGGATTACAAATGCCAGGAGGGCAGAGGTCGTGCTGGCCTTACTGTATTCCCGTTGCCTCATGTAGTGCCTGGGAAATAGTTGGCTCTGGACAAATCATTGTTGAATGACTGAAGAAATGAATCACCCAGTGAATCTAGAATTTGATGGCAATTGAGGGCAACAGGGAGGTGAGTGGCTGCAAGTCTACCACATAGACTTTTGGCAATTGAGGGCAACAGGGAGGTGAGTGGCTGCAAGTCTACCACATAGACTTTGGGGCTGACATGGCAGGTACTCAAACCCTAGTGGTGACCTGGGACTCCAGGAGTGCAGGCTATTTTCCCTCTCGGCCCCACAGAGGAGAGGGTCTCAAGAAAGAGAAGGTGGTCACCTGTGTTGAAATGTTCCTGAGAGGTCAAGGAAGAAAAGGACTGGGATGTGTCTACTGGGCCCAGCCACAGGAGGTTATGGTGACCTTGACAAGAGCAATTTGAAAGAACTGGGGAGTCGGAAACCAGACTGCAGGGGAGGGAGCAGGAGTCGAGGAAGTGGGGATTGTGAGTAGAAATTACTCACGGAGACTATTTCTAGACACCAGACCAGGAATGGGAGGAGAGATGTCGTTAGTTGTGTCTTACCGAGCAGGATCACATCAAAATTCACTTGGAAAACATTTAGAATAATAAAAATGATTCATCCACTAGATGGCTAGCAAAATAAGATGCCTCAACCCCCAATCCTGTTTCTCACCAAAAACTAGACTATGGGAGTTGAAGGGACCTTAAAGGCCAGAGGATTCAATAGGCAAGGGTCCTAAGGCCCAGAGAGGATAAGAGACATGCCCAAGGTCACACAGCAGATGGGGGGCAAAGCCAGGTTTTGAAGCAGGCTCCTGTATGCCCAGCCCACAGCTCTTTTCCCATATTCCATGTTTTTCTTTCCTCTGTCCTTTCTAAACCATCCTTTTTGACTCCAGGAAATGGGAAGGACAGTTACTTTTAGTTTATTCAAAATGAGTAAAATGGGTAATGGTTTTCCTCCCCCAATGTATCAGATCCAAAATATGTCTCATGTAAGAGCTAACTGGGATGAGAAATGGTTACACAGTGAGAACAAAGATTTCTTTGACTATTAAAATCTCCAGAGTCAACCCTAAACTGGCGCCAATAACTGGACTCAGCTCTCCTTGCCTAGTTGACAGAAGAAGCCTGGCAGGGGTTATGTGTGTGTGTGTGTGTGTATGTATGCATGTGTGTGTACACGTGACCACACATGTGTGTGTAGCAGTCTCCCTCTGTGGAGTGATCTCCAGAGTACCAGGACAGAGTACCAGAGTATCCTGAATCTGGACTTTTTTTTTTTGAGACGGAGTTTCACTCTTGTTACCCAGGCTGGAGTGCAATGGCACGATCTCGGCTCACCGCAACCTCCGCCTCCTGGGTTCAGGCAATTCTCCTGCCTCAGCCTCCTGAGTAGCTGGGATTACAGGCACGCGCCACCATGCCAAGCTAATTTTTTGTATTTTTAGTAGAGACGGGGTTTCACCATGTTGACCAGGATGGTCTCGATCTCTTTACCTTGTGATCCACCCTCCTCGGCCTCCCAAAGTGCTGGGATTACAGGCATGAGCCACTGCGCCCGGCCTGAACTTCTTCAATACCATTTACCACATCATCATCATCATGATTAATTCTAGCAAAATACATATGAAATTTACTATCTTAATCATTTTAAGTGTACACTTCAGTGTGTTAAGTACACACATGTTGTGCAACCATCACCACCATCCAGAATTTCCCAGAAATCTTTTTATCTTGTGAAACTGAAACTCCGTACCCGTGAAACACCAGCTCCCCATTGCTTCCTCCCACGAGGCCCTGTAAATCACTATTCCAATTCCTGACTCTGAATCTGACTTCTCTAGAGACCTCCTGTAAGTGGAATCATATGATGTTTGTTCTTGTGTGACTGGCTTGTTTCACTCTCAGCACCTCTTTCAGTGTGCTCCCCATTCCCCCAACCCCCTGCAAGAGACCCTCCTTTCAGTCCCACTTTGAGTGTGATCCT